GTACGCAACATTTGCATTGTACAAGTAACAACGGTAAGAATTCTAGCGTTCGTGAAAAACAGATCACGGAGTAAAGGTCATGGTTGCGCATCGTCTCATACCGCGTCCTCTACAACCGTAGATGCAACTTCAGAAAACCGTGATCGGTGAGAACCAGCTTAGACCTCGAAACAATGCTTTTTTTTCAAGGTAGGATGAGAAGTCAAGGCAGCACGGTGGCTGCCCTGAGGTTTTTATGTTAAGTGAGTGCATATTATAGCTAATTAATGGCGCCACTAGCATGGAACCGAACATTGTTTTAACAGAAAAGGGTACCCTCTAAAATGCTAAGTTTAGAACGCGCCTGTATAGTTTTTGTCTGAGTTTGGCCGGGTGCTTCCCCTATAAAGAAAACTAATTGGCTTGGTTACCTTAAGTGAGTTCATAATACTTAATCCACCTCAATGTGCCGATTCGTCATTTCTCATAGCAACGAAAATAAAGTTCAAGTTTGTAGACTCGCACCTGAAACCGTTCTCTAATTGTGAAGGCCATAAAGTATGAATATGACGCAAACTGCAAGTTCTGAAAATTTCATGTACTACAATTCTACGACTAACAAAAAAGAATATTTTGCTAGAACAAAGAAGAACAAGATGCCCGGTGAATACCAGAAAAAAATTATTGCTGGACGCGCGACCCACAAACGATAAGCATCTTCGAAATATATATATATATAGAGTAATTATCCGAAACTGGGTTAATTTTCAGTTCATTTAACGGTTTGGCTACTGTTTCAGCTGCAGACGAGAGTGTAATTCGCCTGCTGCGAGAATTAGAAGTAGGGACGGTCACTTTATGCGGCGGAAGTCCTCCTATTGTGTGGACCCTACCGAAGGATTATTGACTGCCATTTTTTGATTCAATGTGAAAAACTCTCTCTACAGATCACCAGCAGTCAAAAAAAAGGGAACCTGACCAATGTATGTTACCAATAATTTGTGCGACCTGGATTTCTCCTTTTTATGTTTCTGAGAACCTTTCTGCATATCATAGTAGTCTGTGGAAATGGTGCGCTTCATTTTGAAAGAGAGAAAACCCCATAACGGTCATCTAAATCACGTCATTTCAGCCCTCAAAAATTCCTCTATACTGTCCAAAAAAATAATGCTATTTATACCAGTTCGGTCAACCAATACACCTGGGCTGTATGCTATTTCAGCCAACTGCATACCGTCATATGTTCAGCCCAGCTGAACTTCTTATCGCCACAGTGTGTCTGGCCTTAGCAGCGATGTCATAGAAATTTGACAGTACCGGTATCGTAAACTATCATTTTGATTGGATTTTACCATTTTGGGAAACAAAATTCTTATGGCTTTCGTTACCAAAATAAGAACGTTTACCCTTAATAGTAAATTGCTGCGTTTCGTTTATGCGTTTACGTTGGAAGTCCTGGAGTTAAAGGATAATTGACGAACACACACAGACATTTCTGTGTGAGTTTTCTAAAGCTTCCGAACAGCATGTGGCTACATATAGGAGACAGTTTTCTGCTAGAAGTGGCAATGGTGCGCGTTAATAAAAAAAAAAAAAAAAAAAAAACGGTGGAAGGAAAGACAAACGCAAGGCGAAAACAAAAACAACTGCTTAACACGTGCGTACGGCAAATACCAGATACGTATCATTTTCCATATATTTGCTAAAGTGTTTTGTTTGAAGGCTTTCGGTCTTTTAAGCTTACGACTTAAAAACCGAAGGCTAGTTTGAGTCGTGAAAGCGTAACACTTTCTACCCTAAAACTGACAAGATATCAGACTTAAGTTGTCGACCATAAGACACATTCTTTGTTCAAGAGCTCATACAGTCATATACCTGTTTCTTTAGACAGCCAATTGACGATCACTAGAAAACATCAATTCAACTATTGAATCTCAATAACACAAATCACACATTTCAGTCACTTAACACCGTTCGATAGATAAGACGTTTCGATAGGAATCCATTAAGCACTTATCTGAATCCAGGCCAAATACGAATGGGCCTAAATGCAAGGCTTTCTACACATACGAACACACATGAAATACTTTTAATGTCCATCGTATTAAATACTATACAATACTGTATATAGAAAATAACGTAATAACATTAACGAAGTCCGACCTCCGCGTGTACCAATGATGATCGATCAATGATCAAATGAACCATATGTCAACTTTTATAGTACAATCACTCCATAATCTATGAACGTATATTTAAACAAGTTCCGCCGAATACTGAATGTAACAGTACAAGCTTATCTGACTGAATACAGACTATGTCAATGATATTATTTTCGTTCGTTACACCATCCATTGTTGAGGACACCAGCAAGTACAACATTTTTCCGAAAAAAAAAAAAAAGCAATAATAAGAAAACAACAAAGTAGGTATTACCAATACGCTTTCACGGTTTTTACTCTATCCCCTCAACAAGTCAAGCGTAACAGTTCCGTTGTAACTTATAGTCCTGATGCGTACCATCATCGTGTACGTAGCAATAAAAGCTCGGGCTAGGATCAATCAAGGTCAACCGGCGTATGCTTTCGGTTGGTGAAACATTACGCGCCGAGTCATCGAGGTTTTCAACGAACGCTTCAAATTTCCTACAACGGAAATGTTGTTTCACCTCCAGTGGATCTTGATAGCTTCACCAGACATTTACCCTCTTCCATATCGTAATCCGCCAGCGGATACCATAAACCATTATAATTCGTCATCTGTCAAAAGAAGAATTTATACGCGTCTTCTTTAACAGCTACACTTCGAAAACGTCTAGCAAAAAGGAAGCTAAAATGTCTTGATCACCATCTCTGGAGAAATTAGACTAGTTTATAACTACGGTATTTTTTGGTCAATGTTAGAACACCATCCACGGAGTTAGTGTGAGTTATAAATCAGGCCAACACAATGCATTGCGGATGTTTCGTAACGCGGCGTATTTTGAAAATCTGAATGTAATCTCAAAGACTCTTTTATTATACGGCCGAAACGGGATGAGTGAACATCAATTGAAGATATCGCTATCGCTGACCCATTCCGCCTGACAAAATGGGGTTGTATGAGCTAGAGATGGGATCATTATTTCACACAGTTAAGGGAATCTTTTTTCTTTTTTTTTTTTCTTCTAGAAAAGGCTGTAATTATGGCTGTAGGAGCTTTAATAACAATTTAGTGCCAACTTGGGCAAATCAGGTCCGCAGAAGAGGTTTCGCTGCGTAGACTGCGATACCGGTGCACATTTACGACTCGCAATTTTTCGAGAGATCAAAGGACGAACAGTAGCAATGTCAGAATCAGCTTAACTGACGTCAGTATATTTACGATAGTTCTGCATGGTTCTGGTGTTATCCACGGTAGATTTCGGCCTTTGATCGTGACTATCTGAAATGTGTATGTCGGCAATATTATTTAGTCCAAACAACGTACTATGTCAATAAAGTTGTTAAACAACAATTTTATATGATACGTCATCAAGGGCGAATGTACAATAACTTACTTCAACTTGCACGTGTACGCGATCACACAAAGCTCAACCGTACCGGAGGCCCCACAGTTCCTCTGATGTTTGAACCCCTTTGTTAAGTTAAGCATCTGGTTTCGATAAAGTGATCATACAATATAACTCAACGTAATGATTTTTATACAATGTAACTTACTTTGAGCTCTCGTAGAGTAGAAATGTCGCTTTGGGACTGGCGACACTATAGTAGAAAAATGAAATGACCATTTTACTTCAACAAATGTTCGATTGAATTCAAAGCTTTGGTCAAAGAAGAGAATCGAAAAGCGTGATGTTTGCTACAATTTTGATCCGTGTGAATCTCAAACACTCTGAACCTTTGATAGTATTTGAAGGTATACATCAATTTTTTTCTTTTGCTATTGAAAACGAGATAGTCGATACGGCTCCTGGTAGCGTCAAAACCTCATTTTCTGTTTTCATATACGCGCTTTGCCGCTATTAATTGTTCGAAACTCCATCTAATGAGATACCCAAATCGATTTTTTTTCCAAACTGTACAAATTTTAGAATAAACACAGGGTTCTATTTATTTCTCCGCTTACTAAAGTTGGTCTTGGTCACACCGCTACACTAACACAACTACCTAGTAATTAAACACCTACACATCTGGACGAATGAATTAAAGTTGAATTGGTACATTGAATTCTGTCTATGGGTCCCGTTGCGCTTTAAATAAATCAAAGATACAGTTCTAGAGACCAGTAAACTTCAAAAAACCATTCTTCACAGTGGCGTCTTCCACAAAGAGTGGCTTTTGCTCTTATCTAACAGACGTTTAGTTGACACTCATCGAAGCATAATTTATACAATATTGTTCTTCCTAACGCTGTAACTTTCATACGGGTAGCGGAAAGTTAAAGTACAAAGCATATGGTCGGCCTGCACTAAAGTGTATTTACCTTGAGATAAGATAGTACTGAATCTGCAAGGCAAAAGAAAGGAACACTTCAATAACGAATCTAATTTCGACTTCATTTACGGATCAACACCTATCATTGGTATGCGTGCATTAACTATAGTCCTATTATATGACATGAAGGCAGGTACCACTTAGGCAGATTTAAGTCAGTTCTCTCTAACATATTAAAAAAAAAAAAAAGAAAAGCTTGAGTTGCTCTAATCGTTTGATGATCAGGGGGACGTCTGTAGAAGGGAAAGGCGCTGCTTTCAGTTTAGAGCGTGATTCACGCTCTAAACTTGGTCCTTTTGAAGTTCCCTTCAGAAAAGAACAGGTGAGCTTAATCCTCACAGCCGATTATTTTATATAAAGCTAACTTATTATCTTTTTAACGTCGTTATGGAACCGAATGATTCGCGTTTTCGCACAAGTGGTCAACAGCCTTAAACATTAAAAGAAAAAAATGTATGCTGTCCTTTTGCAGTTTTTGTAAGGGCATACAGTGAGTAAGAAAAAGTTCTCATTACAGAGTACGGTAACACACACGTCCCAACTTACCCATTACTTCTTGTAATTGTAACTTTATGCGAATAACGGAGCCTGTACTGTGCAATCGTAGCCGTCGATGTCCATGTCCCTACAAAAATAGGACCCGGCAATCGCAGTACTTTAAATTTCTAAGCAGGATTTCAATAGCATAGAATTCTTTCTAGCTATCGACGCAGATCTGCTAACAGTACTAAGTCCTAAATGTATGATACGGCCAAACAATTTTTTTTTAGGTTTTGTTCAAACTTTATAGCTTGCCAATATATCTGCTGGCTAGAAGCGTTATACTCTCTGAATTTTGCGAGCCGATCTAAATACTGCGTTACCTGTAGTAATATCGGAAATTTCTCGCAGTTATCGCCCTATAGTCATATATCGAGCGCCCGCCATGTCAGATTTGCTATATCACTGAAACCAGCACTTTGACGTTAGTGTATTGGCATAATACCTGTCTATATATATCTACCTACAACGCCATGCAAATGTAGCAATATTTCAGGCACACGTTGCCCTCAGTAAGCTTAAACACGAACTTTTCACTCTCAATGCGATTAAATCTTAGTATCAAGTAATACTAGAGAGTACTGGATCTCACACGAGCCTGCACCGATTCCCTATATGTGATTCCTTCCCGACGCGAGGTATCTTAGGCTCATTCATAGAGGCTTCGCGTTCTACTACGCTCTACTAGAAACGAGAGGATCGTCATTTATATAGAGGAAAAAAAATGGCATTCATATTGATATCTCTTCCGTTCGGCTACGAAGTTGTCACGTATTTGCAACTGATAAACCTAGGAAAAGCCTTATTTAGTAACAAGCAAAAGAGAGACTAGCTCAGATTTGTATGTGCAGATAAGGTGACGTGTTACAATCTACTTAGACTATACTGTAGCATTCTCAAGATGAAGGGTGTGCATGGACATGTATAGGCATTACAGCTATGCAAGGAATGACTATACACGTCTATGCAAGCCATGCTTGATCTAATGATGGTAAATAGGATTGAAGTCTTTGCGAGATGAAGTTTTACATAAGTGTAAGATAGCCTTGGGGCATATAAAAGTATTGAAGCGTGTAAAAACTTAGATCGTCGTTTAGATATCTTCCAGATCGGTTACACTAAATTAATCCGATTAAACAACCCATACAATTTTAAGGGTTGAAATATACAAACATACACACTAAGAAATTGGCTGCTACTTAGACATACATATTAAAACTAGCATGCAGATAACGACGCAGTGTAGACATCTACGAGAATATCTCTCAGATAGACTGCCTGGTCAAATTTCATTTAAAATTTAGACCCCGCAAGTATTGTCATGCCATTCAGATTAACGGAAAAAGTTCCATTGAAAAAACGATGCAAGCTTCTGTAAATAGGTTTCCGGAATGATGTAGTAGTATGTTTCTTTCAAATCCTCTATAAGCCTTTCTAAAGCACGATTTGCCCTTTTAATCGGTGGTCGAACCAGTAATTTCAAAAAGATTTTTTATTTTAATGCATTTATTAAGAATTTTGCCACTTTTAGAGCGCGAAGCGGTTGCAAATTACCTTGTATCAAGTATGCGTTAACCCCTCAAACTTTCAGTCAGTCAGTCAGTCAGTCAGTCAGTCAGCCAGCTCCACATGTTTGTGCGCATAAGCCAGCTGCACCGTATGCGCTCTCACTTAATGCATACCTATATGTGACATTTCCGCATATTATTAAAACCTCCATTCATTTTTTCAACTTTGGGTACTTCTAAAATCAGCCTCTAGCTGCTAGTTTAACAGCAGCTTTTACCTGCATGCATTTCTTTCAATATTCATATATGTGCTTATGTCTAGAGTAGCGTATTTAACAGCAACAGCGATGCCCCCCAGCGATGCCCGCCTGTTAGTAGATAACATCACGACGGATGTCTAAATTAATGAATGAATGAATGAACGAACGAACGTGCGTAGACGATGCTGAGTTAGAACCGGCTGGTTCAGTTTCCGTCGCGTCGAAAAATGCCACATTTCTGGCAACCTTTACCTTTATACCTTTCCGTCTTACGTTTAATCCGAAGGCAAAGCCTCCGATTCATTGTTAATAAGTGATAACAATCAGCTCTGCTATACATCAACTTGGTACCAGAGTGAGTGCCACTTCACTAAAGCTCCAAAAGCCTGCAACCTGTGGCGCCATATGGATTCAATCTAGCGTCTCCCGCTACCTTCCCTAGATATTCGCTGCTGATTTGCAAAGAAGTGAGTGGTCAGGTAACAAAAACTTACAGTAAAACCGTAGATATTTGTTCGGCGTGACGAAGTTCAACTATCAAATATCGCAAGCAACTTGGTCAGCACCGTAGGCATTAATCTTGCCCACGCCCCGTACCCCCGATGGGTAGACCGCTTAGGTCAACACTCACCATGAGTCGCTCCACTAGCTCAACAGCTGGCCGGTTAATACCACTTCGGCTGCGGACGTCCCTGATCCTACTTTCCTGCCTTCAAGCCTTGTCGCCACGATACACTCGAACGTAAACGGCACACCGTTAGTTCTACCGTGCCGTAACGACTACTACGAGCTTCCTCGCAAGCTGCTGTCAATAGCCGGCAGCCCGCTTCTTGAGCTTCTTGAAGCATTAGTCGTTTGCCGAAAACGTTTGCCGACGAGTAGGTGCCGTATGACAGCGGCAGCTGCTGTGTATAGTACCTTTCGCCAAACGTTTCGGATTTGGACGGAAGGATACAAACGGCACGTATACATACATACACACACACACACACACACACACTGATGAGTGATGCAGAACAAGAACCTGGCAAGGAATAAAGGGAGAAAAAGTAGGTAGGGCTCTCGTAGATGGCCTACGAGGCACTACTACGCACGGCTTTGGTATCGCTCTGCACACCCTGCTACCCGCTGTTCCGAGCGAGGTTTTCTGATAGACAAGGTGGCCAGTGTTATTCGTTCCTTTCAACAGCCACAGCCAGTGGCAGAAACAACAGCGGGCCCGCAGGCAGGCCGTACTGATGCAGTATCGTTTTCGCTGGAGTATACAGTGATGGAGGGCGCCCCCTGGCGAGTACGCCCGAAGGCTGGCGCAAAACCTAGAGATTGGTATGGTGATATGGGTTGGACACAGAACAGGGGCAAAGGGGACCCTGTGGTGGTAAGGGCTGCACGCCATATGGAGGCACAGCTGAACGGAATGATAGGACCAGATACTAGAGCATTACCATTTCCATGGAATACATCGCCCCAAAATAACTGTCTTGTCATTTAAAAGAAAGCGATTTATAGTATCTTTGGTATCTGGTGGGATTGCAAATGTAACATAGGGTCACAGAAATTCGCTGTTTTACCACTTGCCAATTGTGTAATATTAGGAAAAGGCACGAAAGTAAAAAGTGGACTGGCCTCATGAATCCCTAACTCTAGTTTAAAAGTCGACTCTGCTGGAACAGAGCGACATCCTCTGATTTTTTTGTTGAATCACATTCATTCACTAGTTATAGCCTAGAAAAAGAACTGCAATAAGTGACAGCTAAAGCGATATGACCCTAAAACTAAATAGCGATAGAAACCGAATAGCGGAAGCGAAATACACAGTCTGGTGCTTGTCGTTATTGATTTTACTGTTTAATTAATTTAGATAGAGTATGCATAATGACACTATAGGGGGGACAACTTATAATATCAGAGCTTATAATATTTATCAAAATATGTCTAATAAATTGATCTCCAATATGAGATGCTTGTTGCTACACAAAGCACCATTGCTCTTAT